GATGAATTTTAAAATCAAATTGTATTGGATATGGAATGACTAAAATTGTAATAAAATTGGCTAGAATTGAAATGGGTGACTATGAAAGGAATAAAAATTTCAATTGGATAGGATAGAATTGAAATAAAATAAAATAACATGGGCTACAATTTAAATGATTCTAAGGAGAATTTAGGAGTTACTATTTAATTAAAATACTACATATATTAAAATATTTTTTATATAACTGGAAATTAATTAAATTTTGAAAGATTCAAAAATTTATTAATAATTCTAAAATATTATAATAATATTTACTACAATTTTGTAAATTAAACATAATAAAATATATATAACTTTAAGCAAAATCGACCAAAAATTCTTAACTTTAAATAAATTTTAAAATATGTATTTAATCGAATAGCATTCCTAAAAATGGTTAAAGGTCGGTCAAAATTGGATCTTAACAACAATGGAACTGATAAGATAACCGTTGGTAATGGATCACATCAAAACATATACATTAAGGTTAGGTTTAAAGGTTAACGAGATACTAGTAGTTCCCGAGATTAACAAAAATCTATTATCTGTTAGCAAGTTGATACGCTCAAACTTACTTCTCAAATAAGAAGTAAAGCGGTCGTGTCAAGTAAATAACCCAACTAGTGAGGTTGGGATCGTTCCCACGAGAAAAAAATTCTACACTTAAATTCAACCTGTTATAACTATTGTTTGGTCAATGACTTTCTTGGAAAGTAAAAAATAATAAAAGGGGGGTTTCTATTTCTAAATGAGTGAAAATAACTAATGAACTTGAAAGAGACACTTAACAGTTTTGAATGTTGGATTTTAATCAATTAATCAAAGTAACTAGTGTTTACGTGTTCCCCACAGGTTCATAACTTGATAATTCTAACTATAACAATTCTTTCCTAGTATCTTGCATGCAAAGTGATAAGTTATGTATTTCTAAATCCTTGGTCCGGCATCTATAAAATCTCACTCCGCACCTTGATCCGGCTATGTGTGTTGCTTTCCTAACCCTTATCTTTACCTCATATTAAGCATCGTATTCGATATTTGACTAAGTTATTACCTCGTACCAATCAATAATAGCCTACTAGATAGTATACAATAAATCTATGTTAATAATTCTTTTGCTATTATCTACCTCTTTGGTCCGGCAAGTAGCATTAAGGCGAGTTCTAACGTTGGCCATCTGTTAAAAAGACTTCGAAGTGAAAGAATAATTAATACATGCAAGACACTATTCTAGAATTGTTATTTTAGTAAAGTTTTATCTCATTATTTGCCTATGGTTCCCACAACCCTAGTTATGGAGTTTAGTTACTTATAGTCATACTCACAATATTTAAATATATTAAATAAGAATTCATGTACTTACTTCAATGAGAAAGAGTAAAATTCGAAAGTTTGCTTGATTATCATCAATATTCACTTGCAAGAATCTCAAAGTAATCAATAATCTCACAAAAAGTCTAATGATTATCAAGAATATCACAATACAATGTTTACCAATACGGAGTTTAACAATCTAAGAGTCTAACAATACGAAGTCTAACCTCAAAAACGAGGTTTTTTTGAACTATTTATAGAAAATAAAAAACCTAATTAAACAAGGACTCTGTTTGGTGGAAATCTGCCAAAACGCGGCTGGGTCGACGGACCTCGCGACAGATCGTCATGGTCATGAAGAACCGTCATGGACTCCGTCGTCCCATACTTATGCAATTTCTTCTGCTGCTCTTCTTCATTACCCTCGACGGCAAGTATGATGGACCGTCATAGGCACAACGGTCCGTCGAGGGTCATCGTTTCAAAACACTTCAACTCTTGGAATCTGGGTACTGCGATTACTTCTCTGAACTTCATGACAAACCTATAGGACCGAACGTCATAGCCACGACGGACCGTCACAAGCTTCGTAACCCCACACTTGGTCAGATTCCCCATCTTCCTTCAGCAGTTGCACTACGCTGCCACCTACGGACGGTCACAAGCACGACGGACTGTCATAAGCTCCGTAGGTGGTCTCTTCTGCATTTCTTCACTCACAATCTCCGCATTCAGCTTTGGACTAATTTCCTGCAAAACAAAGAGAAACTTATCTTAAAATTAGCACAAAAAAGGCTTTTGGACACACTAAACTTAGAGAAAAAGTATTAATTATACCGTGAAACCACGGTATATCACAAGTTAGAAAAATATAATTGTTGCACCCTTGAGTTTGATGAATATGATTTTGTTATTAAGGACAAGAAGTCGGGGAAGCAACTGGCCAAATGAACTAATAAAGGAAGACCTTATGCACAGGAACATAACAACATTTATGCTTTGACAACAACCCCTGACTGGAGGAAGACAGATTGCATTTGATATGCTAGATTAGGTCATACTAGTTTGAAATGGTTACAATTTTTTAATACAAATAAGCATATAGATGTTAAGAGTTGGAATAAAGTGTCTATCATTTGTACTAGCTGGCAGCTAGAGAAAAGTTGTAAACTTTCTTTTACATTGAGAAATAAAATTGAGAAGGAACCATTATTCAAAATTCAATGTGATCTTTGGGGACCAACCCCTATTGAATCTTCTCTAACACATGAAGTACTATGTATTGTTTGTGGATGATAACAGTAGATACACCTGGTTGTATTAAAAAAAAAGGAAGTCTAAGTTTCTTGAGATTTCCTTTAAGTTTCAAAAAATGGTTGAAAACAGTTTTCAAGATCAACTAAAATCTTTCAGTATGACGGAGTTGGTGAGTAATAAACAGTGAATTCATTAAACACTTGGACAACTGTGGAATTATATGACAATTTTCCTATCCAAATACTCTGGAACAAAATGGAACCTCTGAAAGAAAACATAGGCACATAGCAGAAACTGGTCCCACTCTACTCTGTCATGCAAAACTACCTTTGTTCTTATGGGTTGAAGCTTTTCCCACTGTTGTATTCTTGATAAACAGACTACCATCGTCGGTTCTAAAGAATAGGATACCTTTTGTCAAACTTCTTGGAGCATCTCCAGATTATAATAGTTTGAAAAGTTTTTAGATGTAGATGTTATCCACACCTCATGGGTCAAACAAATTTGTTGGATACAATAGTTTACACAAAGGCTATAGGTACTACCAACCATCCACAAAAGATGTTTATATCAAGAAATGTAATCTTTGCTAAGCATCTTCTTTCCTATGTGCAACCGGTACAATCCTCTCCTAACATCTCTACTTACTTAGCTACTTTTCGTAGAGTTTTCTTCCACTATCCAGGATAACTCTTCAATAGATGGTGGTTCAACTACAAGGGAAGTATTGCCAAAACCCCCCTACATTGATATTGAAGATTCACAACATAATGAGATTGATGATGTACTATTAGATGGTATTCATGATCTAGAAAACATCTCAGATGGAGAAAGTGATAATCATGCTGCTGATCCAGAAACTCAAGATGCACTAGAAAGTCCTGATGCAAGGTAAGTTTAGGAACCTAACCATATCTCAGTGCCTAATGCACAAGGTGTGAACTTGGAATGTGATTTCTCAGGTTGGTTTAATGAAGAGATGAATCAGAATCTAGAAACAAAAAGAAGAACTACAAAACCACAACTTCTCACCCTACCGATGGACATCATATGATGACTAGATTGAAGGCAAAAAATGTGTCAACCCCTCACACAACTTAAGTGGGAATTATTGAGCCAATAATTGTGGATCAAGAACTAAATGTTCCATAGTGGTATGCAACTATGAAAGAAGAGTTTGATGCCTTACATGAAAACAAAACATGGAAATTGGTACCTAGAACAATAAACATGAATGTGGTTGGATCAAGATGGGTATTCAAGACCAAGCTAAAATTAGATTGTTCTACAGACATACACAAAGCTAGGTTGGTTGCCAAGGGATACTCACAGCTTGAGGGAATTGATTTTGAATAAACATTTAGCACTGTAGTTAAGTTTACCACTATAAGTGCAGTCCTATCAATTGTTGTTAGTCTAAAATGTCCTATTAGAAGACAACTTGATGTAAAAAATATCTTTCTACATGGGCATCTATTGGAAGAAGTCTATATAGCGAAACCTCAAGGTTTTGTTGATACCTAGTATCCAAGGCATGTTTGTTCTCTAAATAAAGCACTATATGGTATCAAGCAAGCACCTAAAGCCTGGTTTAACAGGTTCAGCCAGCCTCTTCCTTTTTCACCTTGGGTTCAAATATAGTAGAGCAAAATCATCCTAATTTCTACTTCATTGTAAAAGTGGTACTATCCTGCTCTTTCTATATGTAGATGATATAGTGATTGCAGGAAGCTCTCTTATTCATATTCAAGAAATAATTACTGCACTTGGCAATGAATTTTCAATGAAGGACCATGGTCCTGTTCAATTCTTTCTTGGGATTGAGGTTACTTAGTTTGGAGGAGGTATTTATATAAATCAAATTAAATATGTCACTGAACTCCTCAAGAAAACTGATATGGCCATGTCTAGAGCACTAAACACACTACGTGCACAAAACGTGGTGTACAGGAAGCTCAAGGAAGTTCTGTAGATGCCTTAGCGCATAGAAGTATTGTGGGTAGTTTGCAATCTTGACACCCAATTTTGACCCTCCACAATTTAATTAATTTTCAAGTTTCTCCAACTTCAAACATTTTGAAGTAATTATTTTGAAAAACCAAAAATACTTTAGAAGTCATTTTCAAGGCGATTTTCCTTTTTCTCCTATAAAATATATCTCTATATGTACTTGAAATATATATAGATTTGTATTTTTTTTATAAAATAATTATTTTTTCTAAGTATTTATAAAATCGTTTTACCAAAAATGAAGTTTTAAATAAATAGACATACTATTTTCCCGTAAAAGTTATAGCAATTTAATTAAGATCTTTTCAAAATAATTATTTTGTGTTGTTAAAGTTAAGAAGGTTGAGTAGTTAATTAAGTTTATAATTCATTTCGTTCCCGTTTTATAAATTTGAATTTGATGGAAATTCTTAATGGACTTCGTTTACTCCAAATTTGGACCATCAGATGACCTTTAACCCAAAGTTTTGGCCCAAATCCTTCAACCCAATTTCAAAAATCTGGACCATTATGCCCTTTTACCCCTCTTTCTCTTCTCCAATCTATCTAGATCCAACGCTATAACAGCAACGACAAACCCAAAAAAGCGAGCTTTAATTCCCTAATTTGCAGGTTCAATTTACTCTTCTCTCCCTCGAATTCGTACGTCTGGGCGTGCCTAACACGAACTCGAGGATAGCTGGAGGTTTCTAAGACGTTCCTAACAATTTTATCCTTTCAATTTTCCTTTCTTTTTTGCATATTTTCATTCAAAAATGGTACGAATTCATACCTTAACCTTATCTACTAAGGAATTTTGGACGCTTGCATTAGTCCCATATCATTTTCTCCCTCTATTTCGACCTAAAAGTTGTCCTATAAATACCCTTGTTGTTCACTGTTCAGAGAGGGTCTTTTGAAACGACAGAGTACCCCCAAAGGCTTTGGGAAATCTTGGTTCAATAAGTTTAATGTTTTTGGCTGTTGAGTTGAAAGAAGTGGTGGAGTCGTCTTCTCCACTCGTCATTTTAGTTCGCTGCCCAGAAGCAGGTGATCTTTTCATTTATTTCTGCATTTTTTGGTGCTCTTAATTATGTTTGTTTATTGAAATATTGTTTGGTATTAGCTACTTTAGCATAAAAAATTAAATAGGTAGTTTCTTCATTATCTTAAGTGTTGTTTGTGGTTGTTTATTGGAAGTAAAAGTTTTAGATCTTATTTTCCATTGAAGGTTTTATCTATTGGAAGTAAAACTTGAGCTCTTATCTTCCCAGTGAATCAATTTGTTTAGGGAGTTTCAATCTTGTCATTGCTTATTTACATTATTGTTTCTTGATAGCTAGCTTCTTTTTTTCCAAGTAATATATATAGTGGGCTAGTTTTCTGTTTTCTTAGGAAGAATAATCTTTCTTAAGTTACCTATTTAAAGTTGCCTATTTTATGTTTTCTTCTTGGCTGTTTTCGTATACTTGAAAAAAATGTATAGTGATTTTTTTCTTAGTCGAGTTCATAAATCTATATATGTGCTTCTAGTCATTGTTATTCTAACTCGACTTCGCAATCCATGTATATGGCTGTCAATTTCTTTCTCATTGCCCTCTTTAGACACCTATTTCTCGAGATACAATCCATGCCTCATTTCATATCGAGAAGGTGATCTGAAAATAGCATGTTTAATTACATTGATTCAAAGTTTATATCTCCTGTATAGCGAGAGTTCGTCCTTTTTGCTGAAATGTCGTCTCTGCCTGCCTATTTTGCGAAACTTGTTAGTGTTATTTGTAAGCTAACAGACCGTTGGATCTCAACACCAATTGAGGCCCTGTTTGAATAAGAAATTGCTTGCCTTTAAGTTGTTCTTTAGCACTCTCCAAAGGGTTAGTTTGGGACAGAGTAAAGCTCATATCATAGCTTTTATACACCCTAAATTTATTAGATTACTCTACTTAGATCCTTGTTTAAATTCTCTAAGTTATTTTGGTGCAAAGTTATTTTGTATCTCCCTGCTCTTTCTTGTTTGTCTTTCATATATGCTAAATGAGTTATGGCTTACAAGTTTGATAAAATTGATTTTAAAGTTATTTATCTTTAAACCATGCATTAGTTTGTTTCGAACTCCATTTTGGTTCGATCAACTGTTAGGTTTAAGTAGGAGTATACTTGATAGCTGACGTGTTAGGAAACTTCTGTTTAGTTATTGTCATGTATTTGTTCAGGCTGCTTATCACTGTTGGTTGCTTTTTTTTAAAGATGCAATAGCACATTTTTTCACTGTTCTTAAAGGCTATATACTGCCAGCCTCTTTCCAGATGTCGCCTCTATTTTGTGTCATTACTTGATGTCATTGTGGTTGATGGTACTGAGGTATAATTAATCAACTTTTTGGTATAAAGGTTTGATGAGTTTTGATGCTTTCACTAGAGCTTTCCTCAATTTGAATGAGCTTTTTTTTGGGGGGGGGGGGGTCAAATTGATTATTTAAGATGAGATGATCACTGGTTACATGTTGTTTTATTTGGTATGATCTGAAATGATGAGTTAAGGATCTTATTCATTCAGGAATCATGAGTAGATCCTAGGTCTACTCGAGCTCTAGATGAAGTCGAAATTTAATTCAAATTCTCTTTGGTTTCTCCAAAATCCCTTAGATCCTCACGTCACTCCTTTGAGCTATGGGAACTAAATTGCGTACATTAGACTATTGTTTTGTTACTTATAACCTTTGTATTTCTGTCGCCTTCTCATTTTTGAAGCGGGGATTATTGTTTTGGAATCTTGATTATTGTCTCTTTATTGAATCGCATAGATCACAGCTGACTAATAAAATATTGTATCTTCTTGTCTATTCTGCATTACAAAGATGTTCAATTTGCAAAATGTAGTTAACCAACTCATGTTAAAGTTATATGATTAGTCAGATTCTTGCAGAATTTTAGTAAATTACTTTGTTGCCTTTATTATCTGAAAAATTCCTCTTGTTTGATTGAATTATATCACTCTTGGTCATTATTGTTAAATTTGACAAGATTTAAAAATAGATTAATGAGAAGATATGGTACTTAGGAGGATAATTTTTTATTGGTAGAAAAGTCAAGATAACACCTTATTGTAGATGAAATTTAGGTAAACAAAGAATTGGTTTCACAAGGTAAATCTTAACATTTTGATATATTGTGATGTCATGGATGACATCAATAGGAAAAATTCACTCCTATAAATAGGCAACTCCTAATTCATTTGTAACACACCTCTCACATGCCTTCTCATCTCCTAAGACATTTGTTCTTATTTCTCCCTTGTAGTATTTCACTTGTACTCTTTTGGAGTGAAATAAATATTGGTTGGTTGTGTCCGAGGAGTAGGCAAAAGAAAATAAAAGTTTGTCGAACCTCGTTAATTCCAGGTGTTCTTTTTATTGTTGTTTGATACGCTCAAACTTACTTCTCAAATAAGAAGTAAAGCGCTCGTATCAAGTAAAGAACTCAACTAATGAGGTTGGAATCGTTCTCACGAGGAAAATAGTCCCGACTTAACTTTATTCTATTATTACTATTATTTAGTCAATTATTTCCCTATAAAACAAAAGACAATAAAGGGGATTTTTATTTCTAAATTAATGAAAATAATTAACTAAATTAAAGTAAACAACTAACAGATTCAAATCTTGGAGCTTAATCAATTAATAAAAGTAACTAGGGCTTAAGTATTCCCCACAGGTTCCTAACTTGATAATTCTAACTATAACAATTCTTTCCTAGTATCTTGCATGTAAAGTGATAAGTTATGTATCTCTAAATCCTTGGTCCGGCATCTAGAAAATTTCACTACGCACCTTGGTCCGGCCATGTGTGTTGCTATACTAACCCTTACCTTTACCTCATATTAAGCATTGTATTCGATATTTGACTAAGTTATTACTTTGTACCAATCGACACTAGCCTATTAGATAGTGTACACTAAATCTATGTTGATAATTTTTTTTCTATTATCTACCTCCTTCGTCCGGCAAGTAGCGTTAAGGTGAGTTCTAACGTTGGTCATCCGTTAAAAAGACTTCTAAATGAAAGAATTATCAATACATGAAAGACATTATTCACCCATGGTTCCCACAACCCTAGTTATGGAGTTTAGTTACTCATGGTCATAATCACACTATTTATATATTTAATATAAGAATTCATGCACTTACTTTAATGAGAAAGAATAAAATCCAGAAATTAACTTGATTAATTAAGAAAAGCACCAACAATCAATTCCAGAAAAAGTGTAACAATTGTTGAAATTAATCCTTTAATACTTGAATAAGAGAACTAAAATTATCCAAAAGTCTAACTATCAAAAAGTCTAAACCCTAAAACGAGGTTTTTCAAACTATTTATAATAAAAACAAAAACCTAATAAAAGAAGGATTCTAATTACTGAAAATCTGTCAAAATGCGTCTGAGTCGACGGGCCTCGTGACGGACCATCGTGGTCACGACAGGCCTTCATGGCCTCCGCCGTCCCATACTTCACAAATTCTTCTGCTGCTTTCTTCATTACCCTCAACTAACAGGTATGAAAAATCGTTCCAAGCACGATGGTCCGTCGAGGGTCTCCGTTCCATAATACTTTAACTTATTGGAATTTGCGTACTAGGACTACTCTATGATCATTACGACGAACCAGCAGGACAGACCATCGTGGCTATGACGGTTCATCATGGACTTCCATAATCCTACACTAGGCCAGACTTCCCCATCTTCCTTCAACAACTTCTCTCCTTACTACGATGTCACCTACGAACCGTCACAGGCTCGACGGACCGTCATAAGCTCCATAGGTGGTCTCTTCTGTATTTCTCGCTCAAAAACTTCCGCGTTCATCTTTGGAAAGATTTCCTGCAAATAAGGAGAAACTTACATAAAAATCAATACAAAAAGGCTTTTGGACACACACTAAACTTAAAGAAAAAACATTAAAAATACCGTGAAACCAAGGTACATCATTGTCTCATTTACTATTTATTAGCTACCTTTAGATACAATAGTTGTGATTCCATCACTCTCTATATATTCGGCTTCCACAATAATTGGTATCAGAGTCGAGGTATTATTTGAGTATGCTTTGTGGTTGCAGCATAGCCAAAACTTCCACATCAGAAAAAGATTTACTTTGGTCACTGCATTGTTAGATAATAAATAATATTTTTAGTAAAATGGGGGACAAGAAAAATGATGAGTCCACATCAAGTGTCAATAATACGTCATCATTGGCATCTTCGCTTATGACGAAAATTTTGTCAAATGCAAAATTTGCAGTTGAAATTTTCAACGAGTTAGGACATTTCGGAATGTGGCAAGGTAAGGTCCTTGATGTTCTTTTTCAACAAGGGCTAGATATTTCCATTGAAGAAAAGAAACCAGATGGTGTAGGAGAAGAAGATTGGAATATTATCAACGTGTTTCTTGCGGTACCATTCGATCTTACCTTACAAGAGAATAAAAGTATCCACGCAAGAAGGAAACATCTGCAAATAAATTATGGAATTCATTGGAGGAAAAATTCTTGAATAAAAATAGTCAAAATAAACTTTACATGAAAAGAAGACTGTGATGCTTCACTTATATTCCTGGTAGCACAATGAATGATCATACCACAAGATTTAATAAGTTGGCGACAGATTTGCGGAATATGGATGTGACTTTTACGGATGGAGATATGGCCTTAATGTTGTTAAGTTCACTTCCTGATGATTTCGAGCATCTTGAAACGAATCTACTACATGGGAATGACGAAGTATTTATCAAAGAACTTTGTTCTGCCTTATATAGTTATAAGCAAAGAAAGAGAGAGAAAAAAATGGAGAAGCAGAAGCATTGATTGCGAGAGGTCGTTCTCAGAATCATATGAGAACAAAGAAAAGAAGATCCAAGTCAATATCCGGACTCAGCAAAGATAAATGTGTATTTTGCCGAGAAAAAGGGCACTCGAAGAAAGACTGCTTAAAGTTGAAAAGAAAAGTCAAACCAAATAATGGGAAGGCTGTCATGGATTCAAATGTGGCTGATTGTAATGACTTCGATTATTCACTAGTTACGACAGATTCATCTAAATCATCTAATGTATGGTTGATGGACTGAGGTTCTAGCTATCATATATGTCCCGATTGGGAATGTTTGTTGATTTACAAGAAGGAGAATGTGAATTTATTCTCACCGCAAGCAATAATCCTCTTACTGCATATAATGTTAGTTCAATCCGATTAAGGAACCATGATGGATCAAGTAGAACATTAACAGATGTTCGATATGTACCAGATTTGAAGAAAAATTTCATTTTTGTTGGAGCCTTATAGTCAAAGGGGTTCAAAGTCATTGCAGATAATGACGTGATGAAAATATGATATGGTGCGTTGGTGGTAATGAAGGAAATTCTAAGAAGTAATAACATGTACCACTATCAAGGTAGTACAGTTATTGGGACAGCGACAACAACATCCAATGATGAGAAGGAGGCAGAAATGACCAAGCTACCGTGTATGCGCTTAGCACATGCTGGAGGAAAATCCTTGAAAACTTTATCAGATCAAGGATTGCTAAAAGGAGTAAAAACTTGCAACTTGGAGTTTTATGAGCATTGTATAAAGGGAAAGAAAACAAGGGTTATATTTCGAACAGCTATCCACAATACTAAAGATATTTTGGATTATGTTCATTCAGATGTTTGGGGTGCTTCCAAAACACCTTCACTAGGTGGGAAACACTATTTTGTAACCTTTGTTGATGACTTTTCATGAAGATTGTGGGTGTATATGATGAAAATAAAAGATGAAGTATTGGGAATTTTTCTCAAATGGAAGGTGATTATAGAAACTTGAAGTGTCTTCGCACAGACAATGGTGGAGAATACAAAAATAATCTTTTTCAGAAAATTTGTGAGGAAAATGGCATCGTCAGAGATTTCACCGTCAGAAATACACCACAACAGAATGGAGTGGCAAAACACATGAACCGAACTTTGCTGGACAAGATTCGGTGTATATTGTCCAATGTTGTCTTGGGATAAAAAATTTTAGGCTGAAGCAATACATATGTATGCCACCTCATTAATCGTCTAACAACTGCTGCTATTGGTGGGAAGACACCATTTAAAAATTGGTATGGAAAACCTGCTAAAGATTATGGTTCTTTATATGTATTTGGCTCAATTGCATATTATCATGTAAGAGATTCGAAATTGGACCCAAGAGCAAAGAAAGATTTATTTATGGAAAATACTTTTGGAATCAAAGGATACCGTTTATGGTATTTAGGGACAAGAAAAGTTATTTTCAGCAAGGATGTTACCTTTGATGAATGTTCCTTGACAAACAAGGTAACACTTGAAGAAGCCAAACAAATAGATGGTCCTTCAACACATGTGGAGTTTGAGGGAAAGATAATTTTACCAACACATGGATCAAACGAGGAAACAACAGAAGATTTTTTCCTTAAAGGAGAGCCAGTCGAAGAGGAGGTTTCATCTCAAGAACCTCAACCACAACTTGAATCAATAGGAACCAGCAAGCCAAAAAGGACAATAAGAAAATGTGCTCGACTCACAGATATGGTGGTTTGTGTTAAGTCAATTGCAGTCGAAGACATTCCTACCACTTATAAAGACGTAGTCCAAAGTTCACAAGTAGATAAGTGGAGGATTTCCATGGATGAAGAAATGCAGTCCCTTCATCAGAATCATACATTGAGATTGGCCAATCTCCTAGAGGTCAAGAAAGCAATTGGGTGCAAAAGGGTATTTGCAAAGAAAGAAGGATTTCCTAACCAAGAAGATGTTCGCTACAAAGCAAGATTGGTGGCCAAAGAATTTGCTCAAAAGGATGGAATTGATTATAATGAGGTATCTAGTTGTGAAACACTCCTTTATTAGAATTTTGTTCGCTTTGGTAGCACAGTTGAATTTTGAACTAGTTCAGTTGGATGTAAAAGCTACATTTTTACATGGAAACTTGGAAGAGGAAATCTATATGACTCAGCCAGAAGGATTCAAAGTTGATGAAAAAGAAAATTTGGTGTACAAACTTGAAAAATCATTGTACGGATTGAAACAATCTTCTAGACAATGGTACAAACGATTTGACAAGTTTATGTTGCAGCAAAGGTACATAAGAAGCAAATACGATCATTGTGTGTATTTGCACAAGCTTGAAGATAATTTCTTTATATATTTTCTCCTATATGTTTATGATATGTTGATAGCTTCTAAAAGTCAAGAGAAAATTGAGAAGCTAAAAATTCAACTAAGAAAGGAGTTTGAGATGAAGGATTTAGGTGAGGCAAAAAAGATTCTTGGCATGGAGATAAAAAGAAATAGACATTCAAAGAAACACTATTTATCTTAGAAAGAATATTTGAAGAGAGTACTAAATCAATTCGGTATGAAAGAAAAAATGAATTCGGTTAGCACTCCTCTTGCTCCTCATTTTAAGCTTAGTAATGCTATGTAACCTAAGAATGAAGCTGAATGAGAATATATGTCAAGAGTACCATACGCGAATGTTATTGGTAGCTTGATGTATGTGATGGTTTGCACAAGGCCAGATATTTCACACGTTGTTGGAGTTGTAAGCAGGTACATACATAATCCTAGAAAGGATCATTGGTAGGCTGTAAAATAGATTCTACGATATATTCATAATACTGTAGATGTTGGTTTGGTTTTCGAGCAGAAAGGTAGTCAATATCTTATTGGATATTGTGACTCACATTATTCAGATGATTTGGACAAACGAAGATCAATTACTAGTTATGCTTTCACTATTGCAAATGCATCAGTTAGTTGGAAGTCTACTTTGCAGTCAACAGTTGCTTTGTCTACCACTAAGGCAGAGTACATGGCAATTACAGAGGCTGCGAAGGAAGCAATTTGGCTCAAGGCTTACTTAGAGAGCTTGGTATTGGACAAAAAGGAATCACAATATTTTGTGACAATCAGAGTGCTATTCAATTATCAAAGAACCAAGTTTATCATGCAAGAACGGAGCACATTGACGTCCGATATCATTTCATACGAGACATCATAGATGATGGTGGAGTCATAATGCAAAAAATTCATACTACAGATAATCCTGCTGATATGTTGACAAAAGTGGTGACTGTAGTCAAGTTTCAATATTGTTTGAACTTGATCAACATTGTTTAACATTGAAGATTGAGGTTGAAGACACAATCAAAATTGTTTTTGAGAGAAATTTGAAAATGAAGAATTTTGCCAAGGTGGAGATTTGATAAATTTGACAAGATTCAAAAAATGAATTTATGAGAAAATATGGTAGTTAGAAGGATAATTCTTTATTGGTAGAAAAGTCAAGATAGCACCTTTTTGTAGGTGAAATTTAGGTGAACAATAAATTGATTTCACAAGGTAAATCTTGACATTTTGACATATTATGATGTCATGGATGACATCAATAGGAAGAATTCACTCCTATAAATAGGTAGCTCTTAATTCATTTGTAACACACCTCTCACTTGTCTTCTCATCTCCTAAGGCATTTGTTCTTCTTTCTCTCTTGTAGAATTTCACTTGTACTCTGTTTGGAGTGAGATAAACATTGGTTGGTTGTGTCAAAGGAGTAGGAAAAAGAAAAAAAAAGTTTGTTGAACCTCGTTAATTCCTGGTGTTTTTTTTATTGTTGTCTCATTTACTATTTATTATCTACCTTTAGATATAGTAGTTGTGATTCCATCACTCTCTACATATTCGACTTCCGCAACAATTATTTCATAACTTGATCATCTTGCTATTCTTTATTTTCCTCCTTTTCTTTGCATGAACTATCTTGTTTGAGTCCACTTGGAATCCCCATCCCTTTGCATTCGATTCTCTCCGAGTCAATCTCTTTCAAGTCGCAAAAAAGGAGCTAATATTGTTGGGTTAAAACCCAAATCAATAGCAGCAGCATAGCAACAAGGATTCAGCACTAGTCCCAAAGGGTTTGAAGGTGGAATTTGGACCTAATTCCAAGAAATTTAAGGGCTCAAATCTAAAAAATGCAGATGCAACAAAGAAGAGAAGGAGGCAACACACCTGAATTTGGACTAGAAGTCCAAATTTTTCTTTCTATTACTTGTCTATCTTGCCTGTTATTATGACATCTAACCTTCTTATTAACTTGGATGAATCCTTTGGAGGTTTTTTAATGACATCGCTATTTTGTTACTTATTTTGCTTCAAGTATTCAAATTTTCAAACCTCTTTTGAGTTAGGCGATCTAAGCTTCAAAACTAACTTGAGAATTATCCATATTCTTTCAGAGTTAGTATTTAGCTTTCAAATCCATATCTTAGTGATTGTTTGACTCAAAAGCTTGACTCGGATAAATAGTTAAGTTAGAATTTTACTTTTGACACTTTAATATTTGGAGTACAAATGTACAAGTATCGAAAGATTTTTCATTTTCAAAAATAATAATAATAAAATAAGATTTTTAAGTAATCTAAGTTTTTTTTAAAAAAAAATTAGTCAACTTTAAAATTCGTCGGTATACCACACGTTAACGAATTCTCTAAGGTGCCTAAACCCTTACTTAGAGAATTATTTGAACCCTTACTCGACTCTGGTTTATTTAAATATTTTCTTTTAAAAAATTCTTTTCAAATGGTTTTCTGAATTTTTCCTAAAAGATTCAGTGGCGACTCCCTAAATTATAAATTTTTCCAAAAACTTAACAAAAATTGCCAAAGTTGCGAAATCGGCTTCGAAACGATTTAGTTTTCGAAATCGGATCATAACATGCAGTATCTCACACTGATTAGGCCAGGTATAACTCATGCAGTGAATCTCACAAGTCAGTTCATGCAGAATCCAAACAGTGAGCACTTTCACGCTGTAAAGAGGATTCTTAGATATGTTAGAGGGATAGTTCAATTTGGACTTAGGCTAATCGCAAAGTCACTTATAAGGTTGTATGGATAACTGTGGCGCATATTGGGAGGTTGTTTACAAGTTATACAATATACTTAAGAGCTAACTGCATTTCATGGGCATCAAGTTAACAACATACAGTCGCCAGGTCAAGTTCTAAAGCTGAATATAGAGCACTAGCCTCCACTGCAACTGAGATTACATGGATCACCTATATTCTCAAAGATTTTCACACTTACTACAGCCCCAATTTTGTTCTGTGATAATCGTAGTGCACTTTACATGACTATGAATCCAGTATTACATGCTAGGACTAAACATGTGGAGATGAACTATCATTTTGTTCGAGAAAAGGTGACAAGGGGAAATCTCATAACACATTTTGTTCAATCACAAGATCAGCTAGCTTACATACACACCAAGTCACTTACAAAGCAACAATTTGCAGCCTTTTGAAGAAAGCTGGGAGTGGTTGATCCACCTCTCACTAGCTTGAGGTGAAGTGTTAGAGACTAGCACAAAGGAGCAGAGTTGTGTTAGCATTAGGAGAGTGTATATATGTATTGAATTAGGACTATGTCTTGTTGTGTACTACTAGTAGGAGTAAACTTACAAAAGTAGAATTCAAGCTCCTAAATTGTAACCTGTCAATAGCCTATATAAGGAGGTATTGTGCAGTATCTTTATACCGAAAAATACAACAATAATAATCAACGTTCCTATATATGTATTGCATTAGGACTATAAGTCTTGTTGAGTACTACTAGTAGGAGTCAACTTACAAAAGCAGAATTCAAGTAGAACTCTCTTAAATTGTAACTTGCCAATAGATAGCCTATATAAGAAGGTATTGTGCAGTAGCTTTATACGGAAAAATACAACAATGATAGTCAACATTCTTTTTCCTTTCTATACTGTATTTTCTACACCCCGAACTCCCTTTTTTATATATTCATTAGATTTCTGTATAAATCTTTTGAAAAAATAAATAGTTTTCTTAATTTTTCTTTAAAAATAAGTGGATTCTTAAAATCATTCTAATTTTTTCTAAAAAAAACAAAACATCACTTATTTATAATTATTTACGTTCTTATGCCTAGATACATGTATTTTTGCTATCAAATACATAAAGAGAGAGGCGAGATTGGAGAGTGAGATTAGTATGTATCTCAGACACATATGAATCACACTAGATACATATCTTTGTATGTATCTCAGACACGTGTAAATCACACTAGATAAACATAGATACATATATTTGTTTGTATCTTGAATGATTCACATATATTTGGGATACCATATACATGAGAGAGTTGCGAGTCAGCTTGCTGTAGTTGCTAAGATAAACTGGAGGGAATGGAGCTTTGAAAACTATAATCGACGATAAAGGTCATTGTGGAGTCTCCGTTGGTCAAAGAAAGCCGCAAATTTCAATCAAAATCGATATCATCCTTGAATAATATGCCACTATCTTCAAAGTATATATATATATATATATCTGATTTATTGATACATTCTTCAAATTGCAATAGAGAAATTACAAGACATGTATGGTACTTTGTAAATGTATCGAAAGCAAATCACATTGTTCTTAAAGTTGATGGATTTGGGGTAAATTGATACAAGGTTATTTCCTTCGAACACATTTACTACTCTATCCTTACTCACACATGTACGACTTTATTCTTTACTACAAAGAGTGTACCATATTTTATCAGGTAAGCGGTAAGCAATGATAATTGATCTCTATGGTAATTTTTTGGAGGATTAGAAATAATTTCCGACCGTCACCAATTCAGAATGAGAGCTAAGATAACATGAATTTTGTAGCACCGTATTTGTCCATTTTCACTCATTCCGTAAGTCGTTTATGCTCAATTTCATCAGTTTTTTTTTTGTTTTCATACTGTGCAAGAAAACCATATGATGAGGTTGAAGAGGAAGTGCCGAAAAATGAGACAGAGATTGAAGTGGAAGCACATTCCGCAGTTCTCAACGGTATGCTTATCGTATTCTTTAGCCTTATGTTAGTTTAATTTCTAGTTTGAAAATTTCATCAACATTTGAGTTTTGATTTTGTTCTAATCGCACCGAATTCAAATTTTGGTATCCAATTTTGGCTATATATGAATGTATATCTCTTATTATTCGTATCTTTTGTCATCCCTTTTACATATAGTATTCACTTTGAGTTGTCTGCATTTATATATTTGTGAAAATATGCAAGCTAAATGTCTTTTGGAAACTTGGGAGTTATTTAATTATGGGAAAAGGGCCTAAAATATCTTGAAGTATTGAAAATGGTACAAAATTACCCTTCATCCACCTATTGGCTCCGAAATACCATTTTCATCCACCTATTGTCTCCAAAATACCCTTGTCATCTACCTTTTTGGATTCAAAATTGACCACTTTTTTAATTATTTTAAAATTAAACTCTATAAATATTTTTTTAAAATACTTGACGTTCAACTATTGGTTATAATTTAATTTATTAATGTAATTTATAAACTAACCCACTACCCACTACCCACTAATTACTAACTAAACCTCACCCAATTAATAATCCAATTATATTATCAAAATCATCATAAACACTACCAAAACACGATGAAATTATAGATTCCTGAAAATAACTTCAAAATTATTCGAGTCCGAGTCGAAGCCCCAATTAAATTTAGGTTGAGCTCCTTATTTAGGAGGACACTCTCTGTCACGCCCCTTTTTTTTTCCTCTATAATTTATTTTTGATTTTTTGTTGTTTCGAAAGAAAAAGAGTTTTTCCAATTAAAGTGACGTTTTGAAAAGGGATAATTATTATTCAGAATCGCCACTTGGAATTGAGTTTTGGTGTTCCAAGTCACCTTATTTAAATCCCTAATCAAAAGAAAATTTATTGGTCTGCGAACTAGAAATTCGGATAAGGAATTCTGTTGACCGAGAGGAAGGTGTTAGGCACCCCTCGAATCCCGTGATTCTAGTACGGTCGCTTTATTGAC